TGTGTGTGTGTGTGTGTGTGTGTGTGTGTGTGTGTGTGTGTTAGTCTGCTGGTGAAATACTGAGAAATGATGATCTGAAGCTAATGGCAAGAGCAGTGACACAATGCTGAGGCAGTCATCATTACGCAGTTTTAAAATGTGCAGTTATCTGAAAATCATTCACACGATATAGATGAAAATGCCATGGGTTTCAGATTTTCCTTTCAGATCTAATGTGATTTGTGATGATTATAAAAACTGTCTGTCAAACATTCATTTTGTAGTACACCCAACATACTGCGAGCTTACAGGGCCGAAGAAGGCAAACACGGCCACAAGAGGGCAGTCAATCATCATGTTCATGCCAGTCCAATCTATTTTTCAGTATTTGTCAGTTGTATACACGCTATAACACTGAATTAACAGACCAAGGCATTAACTGTTTGTGATAATGTGTCAAACATATACAGTTTCTGTTAATCTATTAACGTGCCCTTGTCTGCACAAAGCTCACTTGTAACGAAATCTCATGCAACTCACAGTCCTCTAGCACATTTCTCAAAAACACAAATCTAATGTCATGATGACAGATTCCTGTCTGACGTGGTGACAATGAATTCAACAGTAAAACAACAGATCAAAACATTACCCGTTGAGCTGTGATGTATCGTTCTTTGCATTGTGGTCCATGGCTTAATCAGAGAATGTTGAGTCTGTTCTAATCGAAATTTCCTGATGTGAATCGCACTAAACACACACACAGCACAGCAGAGCTGAGGAACTTCCCGCGAAAAAAAAAAGTCCAGCCCACTGTTCCGGGTTTAGACGGTTTAGACTAGAGTTGGCGCAATGAGTTGAATAGCGCCATCTCTACGCGGTTCTGCACATTACAGTGAGTTATTCTCTCTCGTTTTACAATGCAGCCAGTCTTTTATAATGTATATGATAAAATACGTCTTCTTGAAATGACCTCAGCGGGTCAGCAAATGCGTAAAAAACGCGCATTCGTTCCTATACTTAGTAAAGTACGAATACATACGTCGTACTCTGGTTTTTGTTTAAAAAAAAAAAAGAAATACAGAGCGTAGAATATAAAACTCCCTTTAAAAATGTTTAGAAATAATGTAAGGCGCCGTTCATTTTAATTTTACCTCCATAAAATGATATATGGATATGAATCATTACATAAATAACGCATCAATTTGATTATAACGAAAATAAACAAATTAACAACAAAACTGAAATTGCACAGTTGAAAATGTTCACTTGAAATAAAATATAAATAAACCCGATTAGTCTACCGCATGTTCTTTCACGCATTTTTAATCGATCCATGAGGAGTTGTTATGTTTGTCTGTAACAGATTATTTTAATAAAGTGATTTTTATACTAAATATTATTATTATTTGTTTCTTTGTTTTTATGTTTAATTTTGTATTTTCAAACCTGTATGACTTTGTTTCTTCCACACAAAATTCAAAAATGATTTTGAAGAATGCTGTAACTAAACTGTTTCGGTTCCCTTTGACTTTCATTATAGACAAACAAAGCAATGGAAGTCAATGGCAACCGAAACTGTTTGCTTATCGACATTCTTCAAAACATTTTCTTCTGTGTTCAGGTATGAAATTACATGAGGGTGATTGCCATTTCTGGGTAGGCTACTTCTAATGTATGCTTTCCATAGAAAGAGTTTTCTTATTAAGTCATGAATTATTATTAAGAAATGATCATGAAACTATTTCATATAAATCCTCCACACCCCTTCCATGATCTGACACCACAGAAGGTCATTGCGCAATTTCGTACCCTAATTCAATCAGGCCTCTGCTCTAAAATAAGCAGGGTAACCAATCGCAGTCAGCAGAAAACAGATGGTCCATGAGAAGTTTCCCAGCACAACCACAGCGAAACTCACCCTCATTCCCACAAAGGGATATAAATAAATAATTGTGCCTTTCTGGGATCAGCACAAACACGGAGTTGAATCAACACCTACAATTCGCTCAAAATCAAGTAAGTTATATCATTTACGAGTTTTTGGAAATCCAGTTTAAAACGTTTATATTTCGAGAAAGCGTTCAACAAAAAGACAAATGCCACTCAGTTGTTGTTGTTCACACGATTCCAACATACATAAGTTACTTAACAGAGTTCTTTAGTCACAAAATGTTTCAATCCTCGTCTGTATACCTGGTAATAATAATATTGTAATAATATTACAGTGATAATAATATTGTAATAATATTACAGTGATAATAATATTGGCACAGACATGTCCCAACACTGGTGCGATTTACTGGTAGTGTCGTCGAGTTCCAGCACAGCAGGCGGCGTGGCGTAATGTGGAAGCGGAAGTGAAAGTGAAAGAAAGGCTCCGCAGACCAATGAAACGCTCAGTTGTTTCACTTCCGCGGTCTGGTTCTCGATGACGTTTTTGCGTCATTCTACAAAACACGAAAGGCAGGGTTTCTGGAACAGTTCAAACGTCCAAATTGAAAAAAAATCACTGCCTTGTTCTTTATAAGATGAAGAAAGTATTTCTAAAAAAAAACATGATGACATTTTTTGCGTAGTTCCACGGGACGGGATTGTATAACACATCTCATCGAGGGATCTTTAGAGGATTATCGGCTGCCTCCCCTACAGGTAAATACCTAAACGGCTTCAAAGCAGAAGTATGAATTTATAAATCTGTTTACAAATAGATTCTACACGATCTTTTGTCTGTTGGGTTGAAACATGTTTACACTAATAAACGTCCAAATATGTCTCATTATGGTTTATTCATTATCTTTTATCGTTAACCTTTATTATGATATGCATTGATATAATATTCTGAATAATAATTTTATTTCTGAATAATAATTATTGGTTTATATGGAATTTATGTGGAAGATAATCCATATGAAGAGAGAGAACGTTGTGTCCCATTGCAGAGTGAATCATCATGGCTCTACAGGGATCTGCAAGGCTTCACTCACTGCATTGCTAATGAGCACTTCACTAACGTTATAACCCAAATGTTGTCAGTTCTATGACCACAACACCTGCAAATCTGCAAATCAAATCTTTTTGCTGTATATCTTAACTCGTTTGTTGTTTGCTTTTTACCACATAATGAGTTTTCTATGTGAGACAGAATGTCCAGTACATTTTAAATCTTCACTGTATTGGATTCTGTTCAGCGTCAAGATGCCAGTGGACAGAATGAGAATGCGCCCCTGGTTGGAGCAACAGATCGAGAGTGGGCAAATTCAAGGTTTTCACTGGGTCAATGAGGTGAGGGTAGAAATCTGACATCAAATTATAATTCATTTTAAGAAGAGTATTTTCATGCTGGGAATAGGGTTAGGTGGGTTAGATGTATAAATCTTGCATCACACTGAAGGGGTTTATTCTGTAATAACAACTGGCTATTACCTGACTACTTGCCTCACAGGTAAATAATTAGCCTCAAAATAATGATTTGAAATTAAATATTTTATTGGCTCTTTAAACGCAAGGCTTCTACAAAGAAAAGCAGTTCCTAACAAATGGCTTTGAACAGACAAAATTCAGACAAGACAGACATTTAAGGCATAATGTACAGTCATATCACTATTCGCTAATGACACCGGTTTTCACTACATAAATAAAGATGAGGACAGAAAATGTTATTTGAAAAGAAAGCATTGTAAATTTGTACCTGTTTATTATCTTAAATCTATTGCAGCATACAAAACAATCATTCTGGCAACAAGAGGAACACTTTGACAGTATTACCGCAGGCCTGAAGTCTTCCAGTTTGATTTTTTCAGCAAATACAGTCAAAAAAATTAGGCGCAAGGTGACGGCAATTGGGTTTTGAATTAAACTAAATAGAGCATGGCAGTGTGGCAGAGTGTGTGTGTGTGGCAGTGTGATATCTGGCCTCAAATACCCGGATGAGCAGTGCATTTACAGGGCTCTACAGCTCTACTACTCGCATTTGCGACTGAAAACTACTGCGTGCGACTATGAAATTTTTTTTAGGAGCACCAGTGCGACTGACCCGATCATCGGAGCTCAGGGTAGCTTCAAAGGTTTCTACGTGTTTTTGCAGCGTTGAGTAATGTATCACAGACATATCTCACGAATCCTTTCATAAGCAAAGTGTAAACAGGGTGTAAATAAGAGATTCATTGCGCAGTTTAGAGAGCTTCGTTGATTATAAATGTGAGCTCGCGATTAACTAAGATGAGTGACCGCTTTTAATGATTTTTAAGGGAGTTTGTAAATGTGATAACTGATTTAATACAATACAATTCAACAAACAAGAAGTTAATATTAAGTGACTTACATTGTCTGACTATAACACTATTGTCTGATTTTGCTCTATTTCGTCGTCGAAAATAGTTTAAAACAAAGACAGCGGAGCCGCTGCGCATCTCCATTCAAACACAGCGGTATTTCGTTTATGAATGAATGGGTTTTTTTAAACGAATCTAGTGAGTCAGTGATTCATGATTACCCATTCATAAAGACAGTCAACTTGCTTCATTCCTGCCACCTTACATATACCTAAACCTACCCATCTCCACCCCCTGATCCCTAAACCCACCCGTCTCCACCCCTAAACCTACCATCTCCACCCCCTAGATGTGGATCCAACCACACCCCCTGGATGTTTGTTCTGCAGTGAGGGGCTACTGGATCAAATCAGTGACTTGCCGCCACCTGCTGGCAGTTTTAGTTTCATTTTTAAAGTATCTTTTCAGTTATTTAAATCATTTAATATTTCTATATTCAAAATTGTATATTTAAAACATTAATCTCATCATGAATTTGTGGATTTAATTGCACTCATTCCACTTCTGATCCTCATTAAATGTCTGAAAATACACCTACAAGCCACTTTTGTGTTATTCTGTGCTACCGCTTCATTCCTGAATGATTCAGCCGTTCGAATGAATCAATTGAATGAATGATTCAGTGATAAAAATAAGACTTGCCACCACCTGCTGGCAGTTTTTGTTTCATTTTTAAAGTATCTTTTCAGTTATTTAAATCATTTTATATTTCTATATTCAAAATTTTATATTTAAAACATTAATATCATCATGGATTTATGGATTTAATTGCACTCATTCCAGTTCTGAGCTTCATTAAATGTCTGAAAGTACACCAAGCCACTTTTGTGTTCTTCTGTGCCACCTCTACAAATTAATTTTGTTAATACTGATTTCATTTGATTGGTAACTTATATTTCTTATTCTACTTGTTCTTATTCTGTCGTTTTAATTACAATTTTTAAAAAGCTTATAAAATATATATTTTTTAAGAATTTGACAAAAGATGACATTTTATTTTAATAAAGTTAGAGGAGTCAACTATCACCTCGTAATGGGAAGGCTACTTTTTGATAACATTTTGGATTATTGATTAGAACGTGCTCCTACATTTTTAAAGTTAGGAGCACAAGTGCTCCTAAAAAGAAAAGTAAGCGTAGAGCCCCAATGTTGCTAATGATGACAGTTATTATCGGGGAATAACGCACTGACCAATAATGTCACAACTGACCAATCAGAATCAAGTATTCCAGAGAGCCATGTAATAAATATTTATTTATGAGTGAATGAATGAATAAGCCATGGGAAAGAATTCTTAATTTGCATGTCATGTGCAGAGTTTTATAGTACAGAACTTTATATCTGTGTACGTTAATTTTGAACATGTGACTCATGTGGCAGTTTGTGTCTTTACTAATACATTGTGAAAATGATCTTGTAATTTTAAGTATGCTTGAAATGTTACTCAACTCATTGTACATGGATTGAGTAATAATACACTATTAAAATGTTTCTATTAACAGGAGAAAAAGATATTTCAGATACCATGGATGCATGCAGCCAGACATGGATGGGATTTAGAAAAGGATGCACCTTTATTTATGAACTGGGCCATTCACACAGGTAGCTGTTGAAAGAGCTGTTGCTCATTGTCTCTTGTATAAAGAATGAGGCTAACTGCTTTAAAGGTGAAAATTGTACCATGCATTCGAGTTGATTCTGCTTTTGTATACAGCTTTGAATGTATTTCTGTTGGTTCTATTGGTTTGTAACTCCATTTTGTTGTATAATATTTTGATTCAGTTGTTACTGAATTATGTTTCATACAGGAAAGTATCGTCCAGGTATTGACAAGCCAGACCCTAAGACGTGGAAGGCAAATTTCCGCTGTGCTATGAATTCTCTACCAGACATTGAGGAAGTGAAAGATAAAAGCATGAAGAGAGGAAGCAATGCCTTGAGAATGTACAGATTGCTTTCCTCATATGAAAAAGCTGTTAAGAAAGGTAATTGCAGTCATTAATTAAACACAATACTATTCAGAAAAAAATCCCATGTCATTCCATAGCATTTTTGGTCATATACTGTACTTATTAATGTTGATGTACATCGTTTTATTCTGGTGTAGAAATTCTAATGATGGCATTTAAGATTTTCTAAATGCATATTGTCTTTTTTCAGGGAAGAAAAAGATGGACCTGGAGCAAAGAGCAAAAGTAGGAATGCATGAATCTACACTCAAACAACAGTGCACATTTCTGAGTATAGCAAATCAGCTCACACCTATGTTTGATTCCTTAGAGGGTTTTTCAGAAACGGAAAGCTGGCATTCCCAGAAAATATAAAATGACAAAGGAACAAAGTGAAGAGAATTTAATGGAAGAAACTACACCGGACAGCACTGTGCTATTTACTGGTAATTAACCAAATCATGCATTTTTTTACTGTCCAAATAAATAACAAGGCAATAATGGAGGCAGCATTAGAAAATTAACTTATTTATCTATAGTGGTCCCAAAACATATTTTGACATTCAAGCCACACTTAAAATGCATGTAGTTCATTGCATTGGATTAAATGTAATACATTTTTGAATCAAAAAGTGGTATTCATAAACAAATGATGCTAAAACTCAGAACCAACTTTTATTTAAACTTTCATTGAATTTTTAACCAACTGGTCTCAATGTGATGTATTTGTGTAAAAAAAAAAAAAAAACTTCTTTTTCTGAACTGTTTTGCTAATACAGATATCTGTCTTTAAAGTAAATGCCAAATAATTTGTTTTATTTAAACTTTCATTGAATTTTTAACCAACTGGTCTCAATGTGATGTATTTGTGTAAAAAAAAACAAAAAAACTTCTTTTTCTGAACTGTTTTGCTAATACAGATATCTGTCTTTAAAGTAAATGCCAAATAATTTCACATTTTATGACATTTGTTATTTATATATTTTACTTAAGGGTGGCTTAAAGGGACAGTTTACCCAAAAATGAAAATTCTGTCATTTACTCATCCTCAAATTTTTACAAACCTGTATGTGTTTCTTTTAAAAGAAGATATTTTGACGAATCTTGGTAACCAAACAGTATCTGTTCCCAATTGACTTCCATAGTATTGTTTCCGTAGTATGGAAGTCAGTAGGTACCAACAACTGTTTGGTTATTCACATTCTTCAGAATATCTTCTTTTATGCTCAGCAGAAGAAACAAACTCATACAGGTTTGGAACAACTGCAGGGTGACAGTATTTAAATTTTTGGGTGAACTATTGTTCTTTTTAAGTACCCAAATGCTTTTTTGGTAATATGTTACCAAAATGTTAGCCCAAATAAATAAAATGTATTTTAGTAGAAATGTTGATGATAACATTTCTAAATCATACATGCTTATTCATCAACACAGAGCAGGAGTGCTCCCCTGTGCCCATGTCATCTGTGAGGGAGATGGCTGTAGCTGAATTACCTGACGTGTGTGCAGTTGTTGAGGTGGCAACGGAGAATGCAGAACCTGCGTTTAGCTCCACTGAAGTGTGTCTGCCTCTCCAGGACTCCCATGTTTCATCCTACAGTGGTAGGGTCCTTTTTTGCTTTCAGCTCTACTGTCTTTGTGCTGTGTTCACCACATGAATGATAAATTGCATATTACTGTTACTATTACTGTATTATGTTATTGTTGGTCACAAGCACAGCTGGATATCATTATGAATTTTATTCTGGGTTTTTTTTCTCAACAGAGAGTGACACAGAGAGCACATACAGTGAGGAAGACTTAGTACAGGTATGGATGTAAATGGGGAAAAAATTCCAAGGAAGGATATCTTCCTTTTTAAAATACAACCTTCCCTTTCATTTTCTTAAATACGACTTAAGCTCTTAGATCTTAAGAAATAGTTTTAGGTAGAAGCCCGTTACAGCAAATACACTACCATTCAAAAACTTGGGTTTAGTATGATTGTTTTTTTTAAAAAACACTTTATTTTAAAGGGGTCCTATTGTGCCATTTTACAAAGTCTTGATTTTGTTTTGGGGGTGTACTAGAACAGGCTCTCATACTAGGATATTTGTGATATCACAAATCCAGAAAAATATGCGTTGTAGTCCAAACGAGTCGTTCGTTGTAGTTTTTGAAAAGTGATTTCTGTTAAATAAAATGTGTCCTTTTGAATTGGACTTTGAGCTTTGTAACTTCACAGATCTTTTTTATGCTCAAACGGCAACATTACAGACTAACTAAAGTTGAAAAAGTGAAAAAGCATAATAGAACTCCTTTAAGGACTAATTGTCACTATTAACTAGTTACTTATTAGCATGCATATTACAGCATATTGGCTGTTTATTAGTACTTATAAAGCTCATATTAAAGGGGTCATGAACTGAGACACCAAAATTCCCTTGATCTTTTGACATTTAAGAGGTCATTGTACTATTAAAAACATCCAGTAAGTTTCAGAACTTAAAACTTTCTCGTTAGTCAAAAAACCGCTTATATTGAAGGCAGTCTGCCAAAACGACAGCTTGTGGAATGTACAACTCTATGATGTAATAGTGTGGCTAAGCACCGCCTCCGCAGAAGATGATCAACGCCTGCTTCTACATCACAGCCAATTTAGCCCCTCCCACTGATTCGCGCATGTAGTGTAAATAACAAGAGAGGCGAACATGCAGGTCTACACAGAAACCAAACGATAAAGATTGCGTCAGTAAGAACTCGGTCCTATGTTCAGTTCATTTTACTACGGATTCATTTACAAACAATGCACAGTTTGATGCAGAATTTTCAGAAAGATTGAAACTAAAGGATGGTGCTGTGCCAGCTATATTGTAACCGACAGTAATGTCGCAACCCAAGTGTCAGTAACTGTTTTTATTACGTGGACACTAGTGTTTCTCTGTTAAACAGATTGTTTGATATGTACTGAGTAGGGCTGCACGATAAATCGCATGCGATATTTAACGCGCATCTTGTCAGTAAAGCCATTCTGTAATCAGCGGTAAATTTCCATCACGTGCGTGCTTTCACATTGAGCAGCATTAACTACACAGAGCCGTTGTT